AGGTTCCACTGTATCCTGTATCTAATTCCATTTTTTAATTTCTATGAATGTTTACCAAAACAATATGGGCTTACCATACACATACCACATGATCACAAAAAAAAAAAAAAACTGGTCCTTGAAAACAAGAAAAAAATAAGATACAATATTCAGTCACATTTCCTCTGGCCAACTCTAGATTTTTTTTTTTTGAACTGGTGTAAGACTCAAATTGAAAACCAACTATAAGATTTTGTTCAAAATATGTTCATTGGATTTCCCCACACACAAATTAAGTTTTCATTTGGTTAAGTTATTTTTATGAATATTTAAAGAGATACAGCATTGTTAAATAATCAAATTAACCTATGATAATATCTAATCCCTCTTGTTTAGGTTCAACTTTTCTAATGAATGTCAATACAGTACTAACCAGTTCAGAGCAATATTTAAAGAGATATTGTTAAAAAAATACAGTGAAACTGTGATTAATATTTCTCTGGCATCTGGTCATTGTGTAAGCAAGCAGTCACTAATCAAGAGAGGTGTCTACCACCAGAAATTTTTCAGTTTTATGAGCAACAGGTGGTCATTAAGCATGCAGTATTCCTAGTTAGTTTTTTTCTGGGGGGGGGGAATTACGTTTAACGAATGTTCATTAAGTGAGAGATGACTGTTTCTATCAACATAATAGACCCTCTGAAGTAAAAATTATTCTGTAAAATATGTAAAACATATTTCCAAGTAACGGCATCTTTGGAACCTGCATTGACGACTCATGTCAAGGTCCAAAAGAAAAAAGGCACAGCTTGCATGGTGAAAAGTCTTATATGAATAAGTCTCGTATATAACACTGATCAAGGAAGTAGATCAGGAAACTAACCCACTTGTACTTCAGAAAATACATTTACCAAGTAATGCAGCTCATTATCAAAATAAACAGATGAGAGATCCAACTGAAGGAGCTAGATAGAAGCTAGAATTAGATAAAAAACAAATAAAAGAATTACAAAGTCAGTAAAGAAAGAGTACTGAAGTACCGTTGGAGGAAAAACTTGAATGAGAACAAACAGGTTGGGAATTAATCTAACAAAATAAAATTAAACTGCACCATATATAAAAGAGGACATGAAAGAAATAACGTAAATAAAAAAAAGCCTAATTAACTAATGGTAGCAGGAATGTTATAAACTTACAAGTTCTGTGGATGATTTGAACATTTCCTAAGGCAAGAGAATTGGTAAACCTGAGGTTAATTATAACTGGAAATTATCAAGAAAGCTCATTATTGAAAAAAGAGGAATGATATGACATCTGCATATCACTTGCTTGATCTTATGCTTAAAAAAAAAAAAAAATAAATAAGAACAAACTGAAGAGACAACTTTGAGGGACACAAAGATTTACAGTGGACCCTCAGTTAATGACATCATCGGGTAACGTAAAAATCGGATAACGACACTTTTTTGCATCAATACTGGTTCAGTTAATGACAAAGAACTCGGCTAAAGTCATTCGTCCTGAACGTGTCCACGCGGCCTGAGTGGCCCGGCCACTCCATGTACAGCCAGTGTGCCATTGTTTACAAGCCAGTGAGGACGATTCCACACATACATGCGATACATTTTTGTATTAGTATTCCATTTTTTAGTGCTTGTAACTGCTAAATAAGCCACCATGGGCCCAAAGAAATCTTCTAGTGCCAGCCCTTTGGTAAAGAGGGTAAGGAACACTAGAATTCAAGAAAAAGTTTGTAGAAAGATACGAAAGTGGTGGTGGTAGGTGGTAGTGATGGTGGTACACCAACCAGGGTACTTCCCCACATACCAGCCAGGGTACTTCCCCACATACCAGCCAGGGTACTTCCCCCACATACCAGCCAGGGTACTTCCCCACATACCAGCCAGGGTACTTCCCCACATACCAGCCAGGGTACTTCCCCACATACCAGCAAGGGTACTTCCCCCCCACATACCTGCCAGGGTACTTCCCCACATACCAGCCAGGGTACTTCCCCACATACCAGCCAGGGTACTTCCCCACACACCAGCCAGGGTACTTCCCCACACACCAGCCAGGGTACCTCCCCACACACCAGCCAGGGTACCTCCCCACACACCAGCCAGGGTACTTCCCCACACACATGATTTGATTTGAATGGGACTTGCACATGAGTGAATAGAATTATCAAAGCTTATTGCTTGGAAAGCATTGAATATTGGGTTGGGCAAATATGATTCTGTTAGTGGGATGTTTGTGAAGGACCTGCCTAGTATGGGCCAACAGGCCTGCTGCAGTGTTCCTGCTTTCTTATGTGCAAACATTTATGGATGAACATCACCCTGACACAGCTGCTGCAGGCCATGCTAGCAACATCTACAATGACAATGTTGTGTCCCATTTTAGGGAAATTTTAAAGAGATGCCAGAAACAGAGCTCTCTATACAGATTTTTGGTGCAACAGGGGTCCAGTGACTCTCAAACTGGTCCTAGTGGCACTAATTAACAAAGAAGGGAGGTAACCCCGGAAAAGGACTTGGTACCTAAAGTCCTTATGGAAGAGGATTCCTCTTCCAAACAATTGTAAACTCCTCCATCCTCTGCCCTCCTCCCATCTCATTATTCATCAAATACGTCTTCAATAAAGGTGTCATTTTATTAATTATTAGTATATTTATTCTGCATGTCTCATTGTTTTCTGTGTACGGAAATGTATATTTCATGTAAAAAAATTATTTTGTTTAATACTTTTGGGTGTCTGGAACAGATTAATTGGATTTACGTTATTTCTTATGGGGAAAATTAATTCAGATAACGACAGAATCGGTTAACCCTTTCAGGGTCCGTCCCGTAGATCTACGGCTTTACGTTCAGGGTCCAAACCGTAGATCTACGCCATGAGCTCAGCTCACTCTGATAAACTGTGAGTGGTACATTTGGGCCTAGATATGAAAGAATACATCTATGTGGTATGTGTGCACCATATAAAACAAATCCTGCAGCACACTGTGTATAATGAGAGGAAAAAAAACGAGACCATGATTTTCGATTAAAACAGCGACTTTGCAGTGTTTTTTCGTATGTTTTTATAGTTGTATTTGCAATTTCTTGGTCTCATTTGATAGAATGGAAGACATATTACAGAAATAGAGATGATTTTGATTGGTTTTAGCACTGGAAATGGCTTGAAACTGAGCTCAATGTAGCGGAAATGTTAAATTTTTGCCAATGTTCAAGAGTAAACAAACGACCTCACACGTCTAATACATGCCAGCTGGTGGGTCTAATATACATTCACAAATGTGGTGATGATATTTATACAATTATTACAATATTGCATAACAGTAAATCTTCTATTTTTTGGTGTGAATAAAAATTCATTATGTGAATAAAAAATCAAAATGGAATTTATTTGTAAAGCCTCAAAATGTAACTAATGAACAGAGGAAATGTTTGTTTAGTGCCAGGAATACCTACATTGTTTATTCTGGACCCTATTTTGAAATTGGAATATTTTGAACTTTGTGTTAAATTGGCCAAATTACCAATTTCCGATCACTTTATTTTGTAGTTGAAACAGTTGACTTGGCGATTTCTTGTGCTCAATCGATAGAATAGAAGTAATACTAGTGAAATAGCTAAGAATTTGGTCGACTGGAATAATGTAATTGGCCTAAAATGGGAGTCAAAGTCGGCAAAATCGCAGATTCGTAAATATTGCTGACACATCAAAATTCGCGAGAGCATAATTTCGTCAATTTTCCATCAAATTTCGTACTTTTTGCTTTATTACCTTCACAAAAAGATTCTCTACCATTTCATAAGAAAAAATAATTTTTTTTTTTTTAATTCTTGGACACTGGGGCACCACTTCAGATTTTGGCCTTGGACCCTGAAGGGGTTAAAGACAAGCTCTCTGGAATGGATTAATGTCGTTAACTGAGGGTCCACTGTAAAGCCAAAATTAAGGTGAGGGCATATGACCACAGCAGCAAACAGGAGCAGATTTCATCCCCAAAAATCACTAACATGCAAGACCCCAAATTCCTATTGCACTTGGCACCTGGGACTCATATGTGTGTGTAATAAACTTCAAGAAACAAATTAAGCAAACAAGCAATAAAACAAGTGAGCATCAATAACCGTTCTTCTGTAGTGCCGAGGAAATATAAGCAATCGCTTAAAAGCATAACAGTAAGGAATCTTGAGGCTTAATTTAATATGTGAGTAAAGTAAGACAAAGTGCATGAAAAAATTCTCAGGAGACAAAATGGTTGGGATCTTCCTAACAATGCAAAAGAAAGTCTGTTTCAAGTTACAATTTTAAAATGCAGTTAATTTTTTTTTTTCAAAAGTTGAGAGAGTCATAAACTCAGTTTAAAAAGTTTTAATTCTCCCATATTCTTAACCTTATTTATTCCACTGAATAATAAAAAAAAACTAAACTAAATATTACTCTTGTAGCTTCATTTCATCCCCATAATCTTAAAAATCTAAACAAAATATATTTAATCCAAATATCAAACCCATTTAACAAAGAATTTAGAACATTGCTGTATACTGAACATTATTAAGTCAAGGAACAGTGAACAATATACTGCATGTCAGAACTGTACTAATACAATGTCTTACCATTCTGATGAAAGTGATTAGTAACCTGTTACTGTATTACTGCCTGAGTTAGTCACACACGCTTTATAGCTGCACGCCATGAGTGATAATTGATTTTTATAACAAAACACGGGTAACATTACATATCTACCTAGAAAGTGTAGAAAAACTAGTGATGTACCATAAATTAATAGAATAATAAAACTTCCTATATTTCATGACTTAAAACCTAAAACTGAAGGCACAAGAAGCCAGAATGATGTGTGTAAGATGAAGCCACACTGGAAAAGAAACAGTCTTGAAAAGCTAAGAGATGTTAAAATGAAAACAATTAGAAGAGCCCTGAGAAGCATAAAAAAAAAAATGCAAAGTTTCTAAAAGCAAAAACTTAAAATGTATAAATTTCATACGCATGGTAGAGTGTGTGAGGAAATACACAGGTTCCCATGATGCCATAACGAGCTAGCGTTCCTGTGTCGTATGGCTTCGGGGTAGAGCCTGCTGGAATCTAGAAGATGATTGCACCGATTATCACAATACGTCAAATGAAATAAAATACGTAGCTATTTAATACGTATCAATATTTTCCGTCTTACCTTCCTCTACAGTATTTGCTAATCACAATATTTATTGATAAGAATAAAAATATTTCAAACTTCACCTCATGCACACAAATGGCAGAAAATTATTAGAAAATATGTACATACATGTATCTACATATTCTTGAATACCTTCAAGAACTTTACCATCTTGGCTGGGATGGTTATACATAGATTATTTTCCCATGCATAGCCCACTTCTCTTTCTCATTTACAACAATGACCTACCAAATGCATGTAATCTCTTTAAACCCATTTTATTTGCAGATGACACCACTTATGTCTTCTCTCACCCAAACCCGACCACACTAACAGACACTGTAAATGCTGAACTGCTAAAAATATCTACTTGGATGATTACCAACAAACTTACTCTCAATATAGACAAAACCTACTTTATGTTTTTTTTGGAAACAGAGTTTCAAATGTACAGCTAAACATATTGATAAATGGTTCACCTATTTCTAGATAGACGACAAATTTCTAGGTCGCCACCTTGACTGCAGTCTCAAATTTCAGACACATATAGCAAATTTCCAAGAAAGTCCCCAAAACAGTAGGTATCCTTTCAAAGATACAGTGCTATGTACCCCACTCAGCTCTTCTAGCTTTGTACCACTCTCTCATTTACCCTCACCTCACTTATGGTATTTGTGCATGAAGCTCAACCACAGCAAATCACCTTAAGCCATTAATAACCCAACAAAAAGCTACGGTGCAATTGATTACCAACTCCTGCATTAGACAACACACTCCACCTCTTCTCAAGAGTCTTAACTTGCTTAATATACAAAACATCCACACTTATTATTGTGCCTACTACATACACAGAACACTATACTCAAATATAAACCCTCCTTTCAAACTCCTCCTTGATAACTATAACAGAACACAACCATAATATGAGACACAAATCACTCTTCAATATCTCTCGTGTCCATCTCTCCCTATGCAAAAACGCTATGCACGTAAAAGACCCAAAGATCTGGAATTCATTGCTAGAACACACTAAAAGACCCCCGTCTGCAAATCATTTAAGGTAAAAGGACACAAGTGCAACTAATGTGACATTAGTTGCACTTGTGTCCTTTTACTTTACATATTGTCGGTAATTCTACCAACTTTATTACAAATCAATTTAAGGCCATACTAAGAAATCACCTCATCACCCAAAATTAACCAGACAAACCATACCTAATCACTACTAGTTACTCAAAACCTATTCATATTGTGCTGATGAATGCTCAACCACTTACTACTTCAAAATTAGGATGTCTAAATTTCTTTGTTTTAAATAGTACTAAACTGTAATACATCATATTGTAAATTGTTTTAAATTGTTCCACAGTAATACTGTAATCTTTATAAATTCAATAGCATAATAATTCTCTACTAGACTTATCAAAGCCATGTAGCATTACCTAATAGAATATTCAATTCTCTTGTACTCACTGTAACTCATCTAATAACCATATGAACTATTATTGCCTTCCTAATCTTTAAGTTAATCTTTAAGTTTGCCCAAAATGCTCTGCATACAAAGGGGCTTTTGGCATGTACATCCAACTATTATATTCCTCTGTACAACCATGTATCATGTCAAAATAAACATCTTAATATTAATCTTAATCTTAACATTTTAACAAGAAAATAATATACAAAATAATGCAGACTGCAATAAATAAGCAGCTTTGATTTATTAAATAAGTACAGTATGGTATTCAAATAATTATTATATTAATGGAAAATGCTTAACACATAAGGGTCAGACAGTGCTAAATGGCAGAGGTTAGAGAGAAGGTAGAGAGTTAGACGTGGCAGTGTTGAGAGGAGGACATCAGCAATACAGTATTTAACCCCTTAACTTTGGCATACCCAGTCTTTTTTCTTCTAGACTGAAGGAGTGCACTTTATGAATCAAATACAACTACAATGAGTGGAATTTGATAAAAACTTACAATTTTATGGTGTGTTGAAGTTAGCAAAAAAAATTATCACTCACAGGCTACAGTGGAATAAAATGTGCCAGTGATATTTACATTTTACAATTTATTGTTGCCAAATAATGAATGTTTTTCATTTTTTTGTTGTTTTAAATTAATGTTGCCTGTAATAAAAATAGTCATTTTTTTTTATTAAACCCCCAGCTGTTTCCCACCAAGGCCAGGGTGACCACAAAAAGAAACACTTTCATCATTCACTCCATCACTGTCTTGCCAGAGGCATGCCTACACTACAGGTAAAAAATTGACACAGAGTGCAGGCACCATACTTCCCAACTCCAGGATTCAAGTCCAGATAACCAGTTTCCCCCTGAATCCCTTCATAAAGGTTACTTCACTCACATTCCAACAGCACGTGAAGTCGTAAAACCATTTGTCTCCAATCGCTATCTAACACACTCACATATGCTTGCTGGAAGTCCAACCCCCTCCCTCCAACCTTTCTTAGGATGACCCCTACCCTGCCTTCAACTTTCAGAAACCCTACACCTTCTAATCTCCAAGCTACAGATTCTCTGCATTATATTCATGCTGCACATTGCCCTCAGACATGACATCACCACTGCCTCTAGCCTTCTCCTTGCTGAAACATTGACCACCCATGCTTCACACCCATATAGTTGTGTTGGTACCACTATATGTACTCTCATATATTCCCTTCTTTGCTTCCAAGGATAACATTCTTTGTCTCCACAGACTCTTCAGTGCTCCACTCAACTTTTTTGCTCAACATTTCTATGATTCACCTCGTCTTTCACAGACTCATCTGCTGATAAGTCCACTCCCAGATACATATCTGAATACATTCACCTCCTCCATACTCCCTCCCTCCAATATGATATCCAATCTTTCATTACCTAAATTTTTTGTTATCCTCATCACCTTGTTCTTTCCTATATTCACTTTTAATTTTCCTTTTTTACATACCCTTCCAAACTCTTTCACCAACCTCTACAACTTCTCTTCAGACTCTCCCAAAAGCACGGTGTTATCAGCAAGAAGCAACTGTGACAACTCCCACTTTTTGTTAGATTCTTTATCTCTTAATCCCACACCTCTTGCCAACACCCAAGCATTCATTTCTTTACAACCCTATTTATAAATATGTACATGTATATTAAACCACCATGGTGACATTATACATCCCTGTCTAAGGCCTACTTTTACTGGAAAATAATCTCCCTCTCTCTCCTCTATACTCTAACCTAAGCCTCACTATCCTCATAAAAATTCTTAACCGCTTTCAGTAACTTACCACCTATTCTATACATTTGCAACATCTGCCACATTGCTCAACAGGCTTATTCCCCTATAAATTTTACTCTCTTTAGTCCACTTTGCCTTTATACAAAGGAACTATGCAAGCTCTCTGCCAATCCCTAGGTACCTTCCCCTCTTCCATACATTTATTACACAAAAGCACCAACCATTCCAAAACTATATCCCCACCTGCTTTTAACATTTCTGTCTTTATCCAATCAATCCCAGCTGCATGCCTCTGGCAAGACAGTGATAGTGTAAATGATGGTGAAAGTGTTTCTTTCTCAGGGTCACCCTGCCTTGGTAAGATACAGCCAACAACTTAAAAACTATATTACTATTATTATTAATTAATTAAAAACATTAAATTAAAGAAATGACTCACCATAACTTTGTTGTTTATAGTCTGCTGAAAGAACTCTGCACCGGTGTACAAGAGTCCATACACAATGACATTGCCAACAATGGGTCGTTTGGCCACGGCCATGCGTACAGCTCTAAAAGCTTGCATTTCACTGTGTTATAAGAACTGGTTTTATACTGTAGTCAGATATAAAAAATAAAAATTTGTACAGCTGATTGTCTTGTTTCAAACCCTAAATTCGTACTGTGTGCAGAAGTGTGGTTCACTCTCTTGAGCTTGAAGCTTTATAGTAAGTTGATCTCTTGAGCATTACCTGTGGAAATAGAATTGTAGATGAATGGTTCAGAGAACTGACACGTTGATAAATTAGACACATGTACAACTCTTGGGTATCTTTACTGAGGAAACGTTTTGCCACACAGTGGCTTCATCAGTCTATACAAAGGAGAATCTTGAAGAACAGGAGGAGAATGAGGTAATCAGTCCCTCAACCTTGAGTCGATGTGGTCAGTCCATCAATCTTGAATAGAATACAGCATATGCGCAGAGAAGCAGCTTATAAACCGTAGGCAGGAGAGGTGCAGCAGTCGTAGGTGGTGTCACATTTGCCCAATGTGGAAGTAGGTCGTGCCCAAGGGTTAGGCTTCAGTCCTTTGTATGGACTGATGAAGCCACTGGGTGGCAAAACGTTTCCTTAATAAAGATATCCAAGAGTTTCACATGTGTCTAATTTATCACCTGTGGAAATAAAATAATTTACAGCTAAATGCTTAATAAAAATTCAAAAAAGTTTATTCCCTTAATTTATATATAAAAATTACTATATCTATCATTTCCCACTAGGGGTAGGATGGTCAAAAGAACAACGCACATTCACCATCGCACTTTGCTATCCTGACAGAAGTGTGTGTAGACATTGCAATTCAGATTTATAATACAACTATGAAATGCAAACACAGTATAGTATTCACAAATAACCCCCACTTAGGAGAGGAACCATATGATGAGGTTTTAGTCTGTCTGCACTAGTATTATCAAATCACACCTGAGACGAGAGAAGGCAGAGAATGCCAGAAGAGAGTATAGTGGAAGGTAAAGAATGGAGTAGCATTATCATGAGTGTTCTAAAGATCAGAGCATTTAACAATGTATTGAGAAACTCAGGCATCTACAGAAACAAGGTTAGGACCAAGATTAATTCTCTTGTATTCATTGTAAACTCCTAAATTTACACATTATTCTTACTGCCATCTCAATCTTAAGTTAGTCTTAAGTTTGCCCAAAATGCTCTGCATAGTATACAGGGGCTTTTGGCATATACAGTGGACCCTCGCCTAACAAACGCATCGCATAACGTTAAATCCGCCTGGCGATACATTTTAATGCAAAAATTTTGCCTCGGCTAGCGCTAAAAACTCGCTCAACGCAATTCGTTCGAGACACGTCCACGTGCGGCCTGAGCCCGCCTCACTTGTTCCGTGGGTGCCAGTGTTTACAAGCCAGCCACCGCGGTCGCTTCCAAGCATACATTCAGAACATTTCATATTATCACAGCCTTTTTAGTGATTGCACCTGCAAAATAAGTCACCATGGGCCCCAAGAAAGCTTCTAGTGCCAACCCTACAGCAAAAAGAGTGAGAATTACTATGGATACGAAGAAAGAGATCATTGCTAAGTATGAAAGTGGAGTGCGTGTCTCCGAGCTGGCCAGGTTGTACACAAAACCCCAATCAACCATCGCTACTATTGTGGCCAAGAAAACGGCAATCAAGGAAGCTGTTCTTGCTAAAGGTGCAACTTTGTTTTCGAAACAGAGATCGCAAGTGATAGAAGATGTTGAGAGGCTGTTATTGGTGTGGATAAACGAAAAACCGATAGCATCTCTCAAGCAATCATATGTGAAAAGTCTAGGAAGTTGCAGGACGATTTAATTAGAAAAATGCCTGCAACTAGTGATGATGCGAGTGAATTTAAGACCAGCAAAGGTTGGTTTGAGAGATTTGAGAATCGTAGTGGCATATATAGTGTGATAAGGCATGGTGAGGCTGCCAGTTCGGACCACAAAGCGGCTGAAAAATATGTGCAGGAATTCAAGGAGTACATAGACAGTGAAGGACTGAAACCTGAACAAGTGTTTAATTGTGACAAAACAGGCCTGTTTTGGAAGAAAATGCCAAGCAGGACCTACATTACTCAGGAGGAAAAGGCACTCCCAGGACATAAGCCTATGAAAGACAGGCTTACTCTGTTGATGTGTGCCAATGCTAGTGGTGATTGCAAAGTGAAGCCTTTATTAGTGTATCACTCAAACTCCCAGTGTGTTCAGGAAAAACAATGTCCTCAAGGCTAATTTGTGTGTGCTGTGGAGGGCAAACAGTAAGGCATGGGTCACTAGGGACTTTTTCTATGACTGGTTACACCATGCATTTGCCCCCACTGTGAAAAATTACCTAAATGAATAGAAATTAGACCTTAAGAGCCTCCTGGTATTAGACAATGCTCCTGGTCATCCTTCAGACGTGACAGAGCGACTTTCTGCGGAAATGAGCTTCATTAAGGTCAAGTTTTTGCCTCCTAATACCACTCCTCTTCTGCAGCCCATGGACCAGCAGGTCATTTCCAACTTCAAGAAACCGTACACAAAAGCTATGTTTGAAAGGTGCTTTGTAGTGACCTCAGAAACTCAATTGACTCTAAGAGAGTTTTGGAGAGATCACTTTAGCATCCTCAATTGTGTAAACATTATAGGTAAGGCTTGGGAGAAAGTGACTAAGAGGACCTTGAACTCTGCTTGGAAGAAACTGTGGCCAGAATGCGTAGACAAAAGGGTTTTTGAAGGGTTTGAGGCTAACCCTGGGAATCCTATGCCAGTTGAGGAATCCATTGTGGCATTGGGGAAGTCCTTGGGGTTGGAGGTTAGTGGGGAGGATGTGGAAGAGTTGGTGGAGGACAATGAAGAACTAACCACTGATGAGCTGCTAGATCATCTTCAACAGCAAGAGGCCACACCTGAGGAAACTGCTTCGGAGGAGGGGATAGAGAAATTGAGGAAGTTACCTACTTCAAAGATTAAGGAAATGTGTGCAATGTGGCTTAAAGTGCAAACCTTTTTTGATGAAAATCACCCTCACATAGCTATTGCAAGCTGTGTTGGTGACTATTACACTGACAATGTTGTGAAACGCTTTAGGAATGTCATAAAGGAATGGAGGTACAGGCCTCTATGGACAGATATGTTGTGCGACAGAGGTCCAGTGACTCTCAAGCTGGCCCTAGTGGCATTAAAAGAAGGGAAGTAACCCCGGAAAAGGACTTGCCACCTCAAGTACTAATGGAAGGGGATTCCCCTTCTAAACATTAACACCATCCACAGTCTCCCCTCCTCCCAATCCATCAATCATCACCAGATCTTCAATAAAGGTAAGTGTCATGTAACTGTGCATGTCTTCTTCAGTCTGTGTGTATTAATATTTCATGTGGTCAAAATTTTTTTTTGTTCATGCTTTGGGATGTCAGAAATGGATTAATTTGATTTCCATTATTTCTTATAGGGAAAATTAATTCGCCTAACGATAATTTCGCCTAACGTTGAGCTCTCAGGAACGGATTAATAGCGTTAGGAGAGGGTCCACTGCATACCCAAATGTCGTTCTCCTTTATACAACCACGGTAACTGTATCGTGC